GGACACTAATATGGGTATTTACAGGCCGCTTCAGGCAATTCAATCACGATCACATCACTGGTGGAAACATCGATAATACTTTTCAGGAATCGTCGGGACGTTTACAGCTTAAATACAAGCTTTTAGTTTGATACGTCCATCCATCCATCCACACACACACTAAAGCGCTAGTATCCAGCGTTAGCTGCTCAAAAGCGCTAGTGTCTGAGATAATTGAAAGGGTCACAGAAATACCATATTGATGAAGAACGTTTTGAGTTTAGGTTTGAACGTGGGTAGTGTTTGCTCGGATCTTATGTCAAGTAGAAGACTGTTCCAGAGGAGGGGTCCTGCACGTTTAAAAGAGCGGTCACCAAACGGTTATTTTTGTACTGGAAGAGAGTACAACTAGGAGAAATGTTTCACATGAGCGCAGTGTCCTAATTGGGTGGTATCTGGTCAGCAGACTGCTGAGGTAACCTGGTGCTTTGTTGTGGAGGGACAGGAACACCAGTACAAGTATCTTGTACTGTATCCAATAGTGCCCTGGCAGCAAGTGAAGGTCAGGCAGGACTGGCTGTATGTGGTCGAATTTCCTCTTCCTGCTAACAGCTCTGGTTGTGGTGTTCTGAACTTGTTGCAGTTCCTTGATCAGGTATTGGGAAGCACGAAGAGGACAATCGTGCCCTGGCAGCCAGTGAAGGTCAGGCAGGACTGGCTGTATGTGGTCGAATTTCCTCTTCCTGCTGACAACTCTGGCTGTGGTGTTCTGAACTTGTTGCAGTTCCTTGATCAGGTATTGGGAAGCACGAAGAGGACAATCGTGCCCTGGCAGCCAGTGAAGGTCAGGCAGGACTGGCTGTATGTGGTCGAATTTCCTCTTCCTGCTGACAACTCGCTGTATGTGGTCGAATTTCCTCTTCCTGCTGACAACTCTGGTTGTGGTGTTCTGAACTTGATCAGGACTGGCCACTGGTATTGGGAAGCACGAAGAGGAGGGAGTTGCAGTAGTTCAGGCGGGATGTTACGTGAGTCTAGACGAGTGAGATGGCTGCATGCTGGCCTTATTAGCCTAATGTGGAAATAGGCTCTGCAGATGGTATTAACATGAGACTCAAGACTGAGACTGCTGTCAAAAATCACGCCGAAGTTGCGAGCCTCTTTGCTGATTGGATTTTCACAGTCTCCAATGGTAGATGGGTACCGTAGATGTAGATGTTTTGAGCCGATGATCATCAGTTCCGTCTTATCATCATTTAGGTTAAGGAAATGCGATGTCAACTATGCCTTGATGTGTTTAACACAGTCTTGGGTTTGTTGGTGAGGTGAAATTGGGTTTAACGTCGTGCTTGAGAATATTTCGCTCATATGACGACGTGCATGCGTGTGTATGTGTATGTGCGGCTGCTTGTACTAGCCCAGACTGAAGCTGGTTTTACAGCGCTAGCCCACTGAGATACCATGCCGACCAGTCCTTGTTGTACCCATTAATGCCGAGCAGGCAGAGACCAACAAGTACCACATTTTAACGTCTTTTGGTATGACGCTGTCGGGGATCGAACCCGCGACCTTCCGCTCTCCGGGCGGACGCTCTAACCACTACACCACAGATGCGGTCATTGGGTTTGTTGAAAAGCATTGATTGCTAAACGCTGTTCCACGCTGAAGGTGAGATAGAGCTGCGTTCCGTCCGCGTATAGGTGGAAGCTTGTACTGTCTCACTAGGTCTCCGAGTGGGGAGGTGTATATTGTGAACAATACAGGGCCCAGGACTGAGCCTTGGAGGTCGCCATAAACTAGCTCCTTCTTGTCCGACATGTGCACATCAAAGCAGACTGATTGGTATCCAATGTAATTCCAATGCCTTGCCTGTTTCTCCTAGCCTGTTCTGAAGGTTGCATGTACAAAATTACACGTTGTTATAATATCGTAGTTCTATATAAAGTCGTTTATGTGACAGGGGCATTATGATTTTTTTTAAACAAATGTGACAAAAGCTGGCCAAACTCTTCCCAAGACAAACCTAAAAGCGCGTTATCAATCCGAATAATATGGGATTAAGGTCCGGAGATCATGAAGGCCATGTCATACGGGTGATATTGTTGGAGTGTAGAAAATTAGTCACCCCAACCCCAACTAAATGCGTTGTCATCCACAAAGATGAAGTTGGGACCACGTCGTTGAGCTAGAGGACGGAGGACTGGTGTGGTAACGTACACCTGTCATGGCACATGACGATGAGGTCAGTTCAGTTTCCAGCCAGGACCTCAGCCCTTACCAACTCCCACCCCAAAATGACAGTTTTCCGCATAGTTCTGGTACAGTTGGCATATTGTTAACCCCTGTTCCTCCGTACCCCCAACCATCATTTAAGTCCAAACAATATCTCATCTGTGAAGCGGACGTTGCCCCAACGATTGACGATCCAGTTGCGATGGATTAGTGCATATCAGTTATTTCATCGGTTAATTTAAATCACACACATATACTAAGCAGCAAAAGAAACGTCAGTTTGGAATTTGCCTTCGCAGAAACGGATAACTGTAAACTCATTTAATGTTTTGATTGTATATTTTTTACAACATCTCCAACTTTACCTGAGCAAAGACATTCCTTCCCAAACTCAGAATGGAACCCAGGAAATGGTCTCAAAAACGCAACCTGATCTCGGAGATGGTACGGTGTTCTCATGTTTTTCATGCAACTCATGCTGCACGTATAAAATGCACCCCCAAACCTGGTTGAAACATTCACATTACAACGTCAGCAGGATGCCGCGACTCACGACAGCTCAGAGGAACCAGGCGCTAGGAAGACTTGAAGCTGGTCACACTGCACAAGCCGTTGCCAATCACTTCCAGGTCAACGATCGGACCATCTACAGGCTGCAGCAACGTTTCCGGGCCACCAAAGCCACAAATGATCGCCCCTGTACTGGCAGACCAAGGGTGACCACAAGACGACAAGACCGCCATGTTGTGCGACAGCATGTACAGAATCCCTTCATGCAGGCATCCCAAACAGCACGCCAGACAGTGGGAACACACGGAAGACCAATCAGTACTTATACAGTACGCCGACGTCTTAACAGCGGGAACCACCATTGCCGTAGACCTTACCGTGGATCTATCCTCACCCCTCGTCATCAGCGTGAACGTCTACAGTTTGCCCTATAACAGCAAAACTCGCGACACAGGCAATGGAGAACTGTTCTGTTCACAGATGAGAGTCGGTACTGCGTATCAACTGCAGATGGCAGAACAAGAATATGGCGACGACGTGGCCAGCGTTACTCAGACCGATGTGTTATGGAAAGAGACTCATGGGGAGGTGCAAGCATCATGGTATGGGGTGGAATAGGCCTGAACCAGAGAGTGGGTCCTGTGGTGTTCCAGAACCTTGGTCCAGGGAGAGGAGGCGGCATCACAGCGGTGCGCTACATCGACCAAGCTCTCAGACCCCACGTCATACCACATTTCGCACGTCACCGGAACAACATTTTCCGGCATGATAACGCCCGGGCCCATACTGCCAGAGCTACACCGGACTTCGTACAGCAGAACGGTGTCAACAATATGCAGTGGCCGGTCCTTAATCCTGATTTAAACCCAATTCTTTGGGATGAAATTCAGAGGAGACTGAATAATGTCATACCAAGGCCGAACACAGCCGATTGATTGCGCCAAGCCTTTCTCAGATTGTGGTTCCAGGTGCCAATGGCTTTCATCAATCTATTGGTGCACTCCGTGCATAGACGCTGTGCTGCAGTTATTGCCGCTCGTGGTGGTCACACTAGATACTGAAGTAAAGAGTCTGAATGGAATGCAAACGTTCACGTAATGTTTTCAAATTCTGCTGAGTCATTCGTTGATGTGCCAAGATATTGTACACAAAAACTGTTTTTGATCCGCTTATTATGTCAATTTCTGTAATGATTTGATTACAGTGCCTATCTCATTTTCAATTCGTACTGGCGTCTTTTTTGCTGCTGAGTATATATATGTTGTTTACTTTTTTTAGGTTGGTTGGTTTTGTTGTTTAACGCCATACTCAGCAATATCTCCGCTATTTGAGAGAGGTCGGTAGATACCCGAGTCTGGACCAGACTTCCAGTGACTGACATGAGCAACGATCTACGCAATTAGGATATGATGACATGTGTCATCTTAGTCAGCGAGTCTGACCACCCGATCCCGTACGTCGCCTCCTACGACAAGCATGGGTTACTGAAGACCTTTCCTAACCCGGATCTTCACGGGTTCGTTTTGTTTTGTTTTAGGAATGTAGATCCATACCGTTAGAGTTCTATTAACAAACGCTGACACTCTTGTTTACCAAGGGTTTAGGGGTGTAACGGCGTAACCGAATGCATGCCAGTGGACATTGTCTTGACGTTAATCAGTGCATGTTTGAAATCATTGATACAGAACATCGGTCACCCCACGCCCAAAATGAAGTCATGTTAAATTTCGGTCTTCAGTTTTCAGTTTCGCCACGACGTCGTGCAGGTGGCATGTGTCTATGCACGACCATACAATGCGCTCGATGACTTGGTTAACACATGTCAACGATGCTCATGCTGGTGATCACTGGATTGTCTGATCCAGACTCGATTATTTACAGACTGCCGCCATATAGCTGGAATCATGCTGAGGGCGGGGTAAAACTAAATTCACCTACTCACTCTTGCAGGTGGTACTCTAATGGCGGTATAACAGCAAATGAAAAAAAACTGTCACATCCAGGTTAGCTATCGACTGAATATGATGAGGAAAGTTTCGGACATATCAATTACATATAAACAAATAGACCGCTAGCTTAGGCAATGTATTGAATATACAATTTATACACCGATAACATTCATACAACAAGAAATAATTTTCAAATAGCAATGCAGCCACGAATATGTTGTCATGGAAACATGTCGTCATCACTTGCAGCACAATGAAACGCTTAGATAAAGACTAGGAAATAAATTAAAACATATATTCGAGTGTAAATAAAATGCGTTTCATATCACCGCCGGTCTTTTCTTTATTCGCCAAAGACGTTTACTGTCTACGTGTTTTCACGCAAACAGGGTTATAGATGAACGCGCTTTGACTGCACGATCACTGGAGTGTGACGTCTCATAAATATTGACCCCAGGCCGTTGCTCGTCCTTTATGACAGCCTATCGGGAGGCCGGCTGATTCGATATATGTTGTGTTGAGAGCGGAGGTGTGTGTTTCACAGTTCCGTGTTTCACTACGAGCCTGTCCTGTCATAAACTGCTGAGGGTCTGTTGATCAACTGGTTTAACATAACTGTAATCCACGATGGCATCCGGCGACGAGGATACGGGAGGTAGCTGTACAGGTAGGTAAACTTATGGTACATGTGTATCTATTAACGTTTTATGTCTGGGAAAACAGGCGGAGAGACGAACATCTGGTATTCAATACACACTGTATTGACTGTAATGTTAATGTGTACTGGTGATTTTCTTGTGTAATGATCATTAGAATTTTTAGTACGCTGTCACAATTCTTCTGTACAGTACGGGGTTACGATAGCTCTACCACTAATATCACTTCCTCGTACGAAGATCTACGTCGATCTACCCTACGAACCAGTGGAAGAATTGGTGGGGAAAGGTGTAAGCCAAATCACCTCCTTTCATTGTAGACACCATATGCTGACATAACCTATTTTAAACTGTTATTTCTCACGTCAGGTGGCTTGGGTATGGTGTTCACCACACCTTTTCTAAAAGCCCTGTTCACCTCTCCTACCCGACTGCCTACGATTTACTTTCGTTCTGTTTGAGGTACAGTAAGGGTGGTAGGATAGTGTAGTGGTTACAACGTTATCTTGCCATCACACAACCCGGTGGGACATGCACCCTTTGTATCAAGCCTCGTGTCCCCATTGCTAAAAGCGGCGTAAAACCACATTCTTAATATAATCTGCGTTTAGTTACAAACCGTGTGCAGTTACAGATATATTTTTTTCAGTTTTATTTATTTTTAAATTATTATAACACCCCGATGGGACATACACACCTATACGTTCTACCGTGTAACGGTGAAGAATGTTTTTCATGCTTGTCGAGGGCACGGGGCTTAAGAAGACCAGCCCTCACCAATAGGGCCATGACCATGCCGTTTTAAAACCATTCAGGTAAAAACTGCTTGGTCATTCTGCTTGTATATACAGCAACAAAGTTCCTGCGATGAATGGGTGTAGGAGATCAATAATGGATCAGCACGATTGTCGGGTCCGTGATCGATATATTCTTCGTTAGGGTATTTTATTGATCTGGTGGCAAGCAACTAGGTCTGGATGACTTGCAAATTTCTAAACTGCTCGTCAAAAGAAAATATTCACTGGAGGATTGGATTTCATCAAACAGTTGTAAATGTTACTGGGCTGAAATCAATTGTCTGGTTTGATGTAGTCGTCGATTTGATTCATGAAATATTCATGAATACCCGTTTCAATCATATCACAGTCATCAAGTAACCATTGTTACAGGGCGGATACAGCTTTTGAGAAAGGGGGTGGGTGGGGTGGGGTGTGTGCACACTATTGAGAAAAGGAGGGGTGCACATTTCATTTTCACCCGAGTTTCAATGGTCATTAAACAAACTTTCAGCACCAAAGGGGTGCACCCCTGCACCCCCTCTGATCCGCCTATGTTGTTACACAGTTTCCAACGTGGTTGTATACTTTTGTTGAAAGCCAATTTGTGTAAAGACTATGGAGCCTTATGAATTCGGTTTCTGCAAAAATGGTCAGGAGAACCAGCAAAAAATTGGTGAATTCAGTCCAAGTCTAAGCAAAATTGAAGCATTTATAACTGTTTATGAATCTCAGCATTCAGATGATATATGTCAATGGGGACTACCACCATCGAATTTGTACTTGAGCGATTTGGTATTCTCTGGCTTGTTAATGACGATTGTGAATTCGACATTTACAATCCGTACCTTGTCATACAGCATACGTCATGCAAGCACGTTCCGCTGACAGAAAATGTGTATTACCTGTAGTTCATTCAACAGTTACTTACTAATAACTCTTGCAAAATTAGTGATATACTTTAGAACCTATTTCAAAAGAAGGAATCAAAAGATAATATACGTATTACAGCAATGGATACCGTCCTCGTAAACGAAAACTTTTAGATTTAGACAAACGTTTTAGGTAAAATGATGCTATTCTGAAGGTATTAAGCAAGAAATCGCATCCCGTACATATATTATGAAACTTATTGGACGTATCGTCCTAGGCTATGACCTGTGACAAGAATGCTTCGTGCATATATTTTCGCATTAAACATCGTGAAGATTGAGGCGGTGAAAGCCGAGATGTCACTTGTCAGTGACTTAACTTACATGACATGATCCCACAAAAAGAGGGAAATGTTTTAATTTGTTGCACAATTACAAAATATCAAAGGCATTATAGAGATAAAGAGATTGACGAGTGTAAATGGCAGCAATGTTGGAAAATGATCGTCACTGTCTAATCTGTTACCCTGTCTAAACCGGCATTTTATTTCGGCCCCGCTGGTTCCGGTTTAGACAGGTTTCACTGTATAATATTCTAACAAAATAACTAGATCTGGGATTGGTAACTCTTATACCCGAGACGGGTGGGTGATGACTTGGACCGGGGTACCTATCTCAATACCCGGGCCCGTTATTATCATGTTACTAATAGATTAAACAATGTAAAATGCTATTCTTTAAAGATCACATATACTCTAGGGGGGTACAAATACATAAATCACTAATTGGCATCGTTATAAATGAAACCCCTTCATTAAAACTACTCATTTCGATCTTTAATTAACTTAAATCGACCTTTTGACAACTGTGCAATTTCACCGCGAATTCTCACCGCGTCTCTGAATACGAAATTTCAAATGCAATCAGAGCGGCGTATGTTCTCACAATCTATACAGTCGTGATTTAAAAGCTATTTGTCAATCCTGGTCATTGCTTTGCCTAGTTTCCGAGTTACAACTTGTTTTCACAGACGAATCTGTCAAAATCTCTTGGTGTCGCTAGGCCTTATTTGTTCGAGCCAGACGCTAGTGATAGCGAAAACGATGATCAGCCTCTCTCATCACGGTTACGGTTTAATTTCTTCAACCTAAACAGTGCGACATTAAGAAGGGTGGATGCCCATCAGATGCGGTTATTTGAAAATATCCCCGGTAGTTCTTGTCTGATTTGAAATAAAGCATCAAAAGCAGTGTGGGCTTTTTCAGGTTTTCTAATGCCTGGATGGTATAATGACTGATCCAAATTGATCCCATTTCTGTGTTTTTTTACCTCGATATTTAATCATGTCATGTAAAAATATGACGCCTATTACGTATGATATTAAAAATTGACGTGATTTATTTAAATCCGTAAACTAAACAACCCTACTTTGCCATTGCTAGAAAAATCTGAAAATATGCTCAGGTAAATAGGGTACATTCAGTTTTAGCACACAGCAAATGCTTATATGTATTTCTTATGCAACAATGAAGTTCTGTTTGTATTCTCAACACAGTGTGCCCATAAGTTTTCACATGCAATTAAACGGTTGTATTGTCTTTGGCGATTTAGGCATAATTTACAGTCACCTGTTTTGAATATAACACATGGTTTAGTTAAGGAAAACCTCGAAATTTAGCTTCCGAGCTGAAGAATATATTGCCATTCTTTCAAATTTTATGTCAGGAATTAACATAATGGGTATTAGAGTAGGGTAGGGTAATAAGGATGGGGTACCCGGGTAGAAAATGTGGACCCGTCCCAGCCCTAAAAATAACCCCATTCTAAAGAAAAAAATTGACATCTGATAAATTTGACATATGTTACTTTAAAGTGAAGTTTTCTCAGAAAGTTAGTGTTTGTTACTAAAGATATTTGAAATCTTTACCTCATAAAAATAAAGATGAGTGAGTATGTTTTAACGCCGCTTTTAGCAATATTCCAGGAATATTAGGAATGGGCTTCAAACATTGTACCTACGTAGGAATCAACCCGAGTGAACGTTTTAGCCACTAGGCAAACCCTCACTCACTCACTCACTCACTCGAACAGCACAGTCATATCAGATACAAACTAATACAAACACCGGTACCGACCTATACAAACACGCTGAGCATTGTGTAAGCCACCGTATGTGGTAACACAGCTGCACAGTATCATGTACCAGTACACACACGCAACAATGCTTCGTGTCTATACTTAGCACCCCGGATGTAAAGCCAAACAAAAGAGACATTATAAACACAGTCACGATGTCCGATTTTTTAAACACGTAGGTTTGCACAAATTTCAATGAGTCAGTTATCCGGTTTTTTCTTGAGCCTCCAGGAAGAATAATCTGACATAGATTCGTTTCACAGTCACGATAACACATCACCTACAATCGTTGTGCAGTGGGTTACCTATGGGAGGTCTGTGCATATGATGGTAGCAGATGCAGGCAGCCCAGTGACTTTCCAATACGCTTTTAGATCAGCGTTTAGTCAGTCAGTCGGTTAACAGTGAAAATACCTGAAATTAATACATCTAGATTTGTTAATATCTGCACTGTAGAAGAGACAAAATATCTGTAACTATGATTTTGCTCAAGGAGTGGCTTTGTAATATGTGCATGTGGTTGGTTGGTTGGGTTGACTCAGCAATATTCCAGCTATATGGCGGCGGTCTGTAAATAATCGAGTCTGGACCAGACAATCCAGTGATTCACAGCATCTACGTATGGAAAAGAACACCTATCTCAAAAACTAATTTATTCTGTATTTTTGTTATTCAGGAAATAAGAAATGTATACAGCAAAAATCATTTGTTCTCGCATTTGTAGAAATTGAATCCATAAAACAGACTGCACCGCAAAACAATAGCGGCATGCAGAGAAACAACAAAGAAAAGCAGCAGAAAACATCAAAATAAAATCAGATGTTACTGTCACAAAGTTAGACACCCAGGTCATTAAAAGGTTTTATATTCTTCAATACATGATAGTGTATTAATAAATTAATATAAGAAACAAGAATGTTAATACCTAACGCTTAACTGTCTTGTAAATTTTCACTTGCTGTACGTACCTACAGGTCACGATATGGCTGCAATATTGCCGATGTGACGTTAAATATTAACTCACCACTCACTCTACCTACAGCCTTTTATCCCAGTACTGACACGGGTTGGAAGCATTAGAATGAGTTCTGAGTCGGCGGAAATATATAAAGGTTCATTTACAAACTATCTGTCAGTCATTATTTCAATTGTTCTACAGGGGTTAGACAGGGTGTGCTCTCAGTCCCTTTTCCATATTCATCAAGGAGCTATGAGTGATAAGTTTTGATAATTGAATGTTTATATCAGGAGACATGTATCTCGTATTAGTTGCTGATACACCTCCTCAGTTACAAAAAGCAATTAGATTTTCTGTATAGATATTGCCTTAAATGGGACATGGAGATCATCACTGACAAAACAAATTGATTGTTTTTCGAAACGGGGTGGACGGGGTGTGGGGGCCGGTTATATGAGAAATGGTATAATGGTATAGACATAGAAGAAAATAATGCATACACGTATCTAGGTATTATGATGACACCTAATCTTGTATGAACAAGAGCACGCACTATTTTAGCACAACAAGCGAACAAAACTCTACTTCCCATAACAAGTCTTATTCGTAAATGTGATATAAATATTCGTGATGCATTCAAGATATTTGTTATGAAGATTGTACCAATTTTGATGTATGGAAGCGAAATATGGAGATTTAAGGAAGTGAATCAACTAGAAATAGTACACTGATCATTTTGCAAATTTGTATTGAAGTTCAGTAAATCCTTAACGAATACTTCTATGTGCGGAGAATGTAGAAGATATTCCTTGTATGTGAACTCTTATACGAATTGCATCAGGTACTGGTTAAGAATAATTGTCATGCCACCATATAGATATCAAAAACAATGCTATAGCAAACAAACAATAGCAAACGTACAATCTGGGCTTCTAATAATGTGCAGCTATTATTCACTTATGGTTTTGGCCATGTCTGGATTCAGTGTGCAAAATAGTTTCCAAATTTTGAAGGCCCGTCTGGCTAGCTGTGCCTGAGAGTTACTAGCCCACAAAATAATTCACTAGCCCAAAATTTGAATGTAGAAATTAAGCGAAAGATTACACAAACGTAAGCTGCTAATATGATGAACATTTTTATCAGGCCATTATCTTGCATGATTTAAAACAAGTCGGAGAGAGGATATGTTAACAAAATGACCCCATGGAAATTCATTATCCAGCCCGGCCAGTGACTGTGGAGATTTACTGACCCGACTGGATTTTTGCTCGCCACGGGTAAGCGGGCCATTGGCTATTTCTGCACACAGATCTGGATACAGCAGGGAGTAGGGAATGCGGATTAAATTTTAAAGCTATTTAAGGAAAGATTAATTGACTGTGCCAGCAAGACTGACATGCAGAACTTACAGACACGCCTCCATACAATTTTATTCTACTATAAAACCATCATTTGCTTCCGATATTGTATATATATGATCTTAATAATATAAAATATCTGAAGGCACTACTTATTAGTAGAAGCTGTTACAATCGTCTAGGAATACAATGTATTAGAAAAGTTTTTTTTGATTATGAAAGTCCTGAGTCTAACTGTTTCTATAGGTAATGTAACCGAAGATGAAATCCATATTATACATTATTGTCCAATTTGTCAAATTCTTCGTAATGATGTACCACTTATTTTCAAATACAGCAGATATATTAATGGTTTCAGGTACATGTATTTAATGAATTGCAATGATAATAATTTCATGTTAGGAAATACTTATACAATGTGTTTCGTGTATACAAGGAGAATTCCCTTTGATATGCATGTGTGTATTTACACGTAAATATTAATGTACCGTGTTATGAGTCCATTGAATTGAACTGAATTTACAAACTGGTCGGCGGCCAATTCACAATCGGTCGGGCGATGAGAAACACAGAAATAAAAAAAAATATGTTGCTCTTATCATGAAAGGAAATCCTTTATCCTCATCATGCATACCTTCATCACAATTTTACTACATACGTACATCTATCATGGCTTTATATTTATTACAAGAGAACCGGGGAGGTGGGCATGGATGGCTCAGTTGTCGGAGGCTGTTGAGGGTTGCGTCCGTTAGTAACACGGGACCCTACCTCACTTGAAACTGACGATCGCGTTTCCTTGGAGTGCCCCTGTATATTTTCCGTGTATATATATATAACAGATATATGACTAAGGTCACATCGTGTTAATATCTCCCTATTCATTTACCTGGTATCGATAAGGTAGCGTCGTCACAAGCAAACACATCTTATAAATCTGTGTTCTTCGGTACGCTGTGGACCCGTGAAGATCCGGGTTAGAATTGATCCTCAGTAACCCATGCTTGTCGTAAGAGGCGACTAACGGAATCGGGTGTGTGTAGATTGATGCTCATGCTGTTGATCACTGGATTGTCTGGTCCAGACTGGATTATGTACAGACCGCCGTCATATAGCTGGAATATTGCTGGGTGTAAGCGTAAAGCTAAACTCACTTCACTCGCTCACTCATCGTGGTGGTGGTGGTGACACTGATGATGATTTTATGGGGTGGGGTGGGTGGATGTGTTGGGGTTACCCATTTTGTTCTGCGAGCTGGGGGTCATCCATTTTGTACACACGTACTGGGGTCGGGGTGGGTTAATAAATTTTGTACAAAAAATATTGTAAATTATGCTTAGAAATTATGGGTAGGTGGGGTGTCATTGATTTTGTACATGGGGTTTACGTATTTTGTACATAAATTTTAGGGCGGGGTCATTCACATTGTTCATTCACATTTATGTCCTTGTCACAGCTCCAAAACTCGAGGATGTCAAGCGGACGGTTGTCGGCCCTGCAGACGTTGTCAGTTATCGAGATCGTCGTCGGAGTACTGTGTTTCACTCTCGGTATCCCCACATTGGTGTTCACCAAAGACAACCCCTGCCTACCCTTCTTCTGATCCGGAATATACACAGGAATAGAGGTAAACCTGAATCGGAATGGATGTTGTGTGTTCTTTGGGATTCAGGGCCTATTTTCGTTTTCCAGTTTGAAAATGAAAAATACGTATTGAATATTTCGCAAACCAAACAATGTCTCTGAAGGATTATTATATTTTCTTGTAGTGTTTGACGTTTATATCAGTCAACCTTGAATATCATCGTTAGCGGAAGCGACAATATGGTGATTTAATTGTCAGTTATTATGCAGGTGTTTGATTGGTTAAACATACGACAAACACGTAATTTGCTTGTCACAAGATGATTAATTAACATATTTGTATTCCTTTCGACTTTCGCAAGAACACACTTTAAAAGCATCTTTGTGCAGTCCCCATATATTCCTCGGTTGACGTGGATATTGTCTCATGTTATCAACCACTCGTTTGGCCAATACCTTCGCCGTAATATATATAGCTGGAATATTAATTATTGCGGCGTAATACATCACTTCACACTTCCCTGGCGACCGTCGCGGGATCGTGTAAAGGTTGTGAAGTGTTATGTTCACGCCAACGAATGCTTGAATTGGAATACATGTACAGTACTTGTATTGCTTAAGTTCATATTCTCTCACTTTATGCAGGTGAATCACAACTTCTAAATTTCTGATACAAAAAAATGGGATATTGTATAAACAAGGGCTGGACGGTAACCCGGATACCCGGGACGGGTGGGTAATGAATGAAACAATGTAATATGTTATTCATACATGATTAAAAGTTTTATTGTCTTTGAAGATTTAGACATAATTTACAGTCACTTTTGAATATAATACATGTACATGGTTAAGATTTTGAAAAATCGATATTTTAGCCTCCGAGCTGAAGACTATTTTGCCATTCCTTGCAAATTTGATGTCAGGAATTAACATAACGGGTATCCGGGTAGGGTAGGTAATAAGGGTAGGGCACCCTGGTTAGAAAATCCCAGCCCCAGTATAAACACACACAAGCTTGGGGTCAATGAGCATATTCCCCTGCTATCTACAGCGAACTCAGGATATATACTGTATAATTAGGAGCATACATGTACATGTGTACATGTATTGTCTCGTGAGACTCGTATCGTGATACAGGACTCCATTGCCGTTCGGGACAATAGTACAATTATGTAAATCTATTGTGATCATATATCTGCTTTCTTCACCAGGTTATACCGACAGGATGTTTGGGATATTAACACCGAAAGAAGCGAAAGCTACAGATCCAGCAAGACTGCGATGTCTAGTAAGTACCATTAGACAGTGAACACTACCATAAAACACAAATTCATTTTACCTGGTATCGATAGGGAAGGTCATCACAAGCAAACACATCTTATAAATCTGTTTTCTCGGTACGCTGTGAATCCGTGAAGATCCGGGTTAGAATTGATCTTCAGTAACCCATGCTTGTCGTAAGAGGCGACTAACGGGATCGGTGGTCAGGCTCGCTGACTTGGTTGACACATGTCATCGTATAAAAATTGCGTGGATCGATGCTCATGATGTTCATCACTGGATTGTCTGGTCCAAACTCTGATTATTTACAGACTGCCGCCATAGTGCTGTAATATTGCTGAGTACGGATTAAAACTAAACTCACTCACTCACTCTTCCGGTTCGCTGTGAGAACAGAAAACTTATCTAACAGTTTCGTTAGCTACCGTTAGATTAGGTAACCCGTCCTAAGAAATGCTTACAGTCACAGAAAAAATATCGTAAAGGCGACTAACGGATCGGGTGGTCTGGTTTGCTTGACACATGGCATCGTATCCCAGATGCGTAGAACGATGCTCATGATGTTGATCACTGGATTGTCTGGTCCAGATCAATTTATTTTACACACCACCGCCATATAGCTGGAATATTGCTGAGTGAGGCGTTAAACGACAAACCAACCAACCAATCTTATTCTTTTCCGATTCTTTCTTAAAAAGTTCTTGACGGTGATCTTAGTAAAGCGATGGCTCGTATCGCTGATTCCTATTGGCACGTTAATGTTTTTATTCCTGTTCCTCGTTGTGTTATTGCTGGAGTATTGCTGAAAGCGGCATAAACCATTTTATACTGACGCACATTGAAAACGCAAAACCAAATCTCAAATGAGGAAAACTTAACAAACAAACAATACTTGCATGAAAATTGTTCTACAGTTATGTTGAGAATTTCATTGCGCTTCATTTTCATAAAAGATGATTGCAAGAGTTCCGCCAATATGACTGACACGTCAAGCGTCACACACAGACCCCCTTACGTCCGTCAGTAGCGAGTGTGACATCCCTGAGCCTGTACATTACGCACGGAGTCGACGCGGCATGGATTCGCACAAACGTCGAACAGGTGCTTGAGGGATGTTCTGCCCTCCTGTTGTAAAGCCAGGTCAACTCAGCAACGTTGTTTGGCTGATCGACGTTGACGTTGACGTTGACATTGATGAATCCGGCGGCCAAGCTCATGTTCATGTTGCTGCGTGAAGACGCGTTGTCTGCCATCTGCAAATGACACACAGAACCTGACCCATTGAAAACACCCACTGGTTGGAGATTCATGGTGGTTGGAGGCTATGTTACTGTGCAAACAGGAGTCTGTTGACTCGATGACGCTGCGTAATGACGTTTCCCAACATGGCCCCCTTAGTGCCACAGCCTGCAGACGTCAAAATGACTGTCATGGCGCTGATGTGGCGGCCTTTACGTCCTACGGTATTTCGAGGTGAGTTTGCTGCCGTCTGAAAGCGGTTTCTTTGGTGAACTCGTCGGATGTGCCGGTCTGACGTGCCGTCGTGACTGGAGTTTGTCCTGGTAAGGGACGGTCGCGGACGCTTCCAGTTTGCTTGATGACGCTTTTGGAGTCTGTTGATGGTGGATGGGCTCACTCTCGAAGTGGTGGGTGACCTCATTTTGTGATGTTCCCACCAACAGCATCCCGATAGCTTGTTCCTCTGCTGTTCACTGAACCGTGGCATTTTGTGACTGCTAGTGAAACGGTTGGAACCATAGTGCCTTTATGCGTCCAAAACCTGGCTTTGCATGTGTATGTCATGATAATCATGCACCCCAACAGGTCCAAGGAATATGCCAGAGTTGTGTTTCATGAACTGTACCCATGCCAGAAACACGAAAAGGGTTCGGACCCAGATGTGCATATGGTTTTATTCGGCAACCTCACATCACTATATTTTCGTGTGGTAAATGAAATTGCTTCACAAAACTTTGTCTGAAATTGCCAAAATGGGTTTTGCGTTTTCAATGTGTGTCAGTATACTTACTCGTTTAACATCAGCAATAATGTCTCCAGCAACCCATGCCTGTGATAGTAAGAGGTGACTAATTGATCGGCATGTCAGAATTGCATGATATATTTACAGCATTTACCGCGATTTATCATAACAGATTGTATTGATAAGTTTAACGTTCGACTTCTGCGTAAAACAATATCCATATAGCTTGTTTAGAGAGATTTGATACAGATAGTTTGAAAGAACATTTTCATCAAAAATAATTCCAAGATATTTATAAACAATAACAGTTTTCCTTAGGTTCGTTCAACTAACTGGTTGAAATATCCAATTGGGGCATCTGAATTTTTATATAGAGACAATTGGGAAGTCTAACTAATGGATGTCTAACTAATGGGAGTAAGCCGTGACTTGGTTGATGCTTGTTAGTTGGTTGGTTGTTGTTTAACGCCGCACTCAGCAATATGTCAGCATATGATGCATCTATAGTTTTTCATTTCTACCATCGATTAATTGCTATCGGAGGCTCAACAAATGCAGTCCATAGATAGTTCGATGCCTCGTTATAAAGTCCTACAGTAAATTGCATATGTTGCAAAAGTATTTAGCAACAGTTTTCGCCTAGAAACGTCCTTGACGTTTGTAATGTTTTGTCCAAGTCAAGTTTCAAAAGTGTATGCTCTCATTTGCTCGAGTACACTCAAATATTACATCATGGAAGTAATATGGAATTATTTGGCAAGTGATGCTTGACGTTTTCGAGTTTAATGTCTGAAAGAGACGTTTACTACATAATTTTTCATCTCAACTCCGTAGTTGTATCAATGCCATAATACAACATTGTTAGTACAATATATCATTACGACGTTTTGCACAATATATCATTACGACGTTTTGCAATGGAAACATGAAAAACAAAACAAAAGAAAAAGTACAACCCTCACCCCACCCCACCCCCAAAACCCCAATCCAAAACAAAACACAAACAAAAACAAACAAAACAAAACCATAAAACAAAACAAAACAAAACAACAAAAAACAAACCCAAGGTACAGAACAGCGGTCATTGAAGAATAAGGATAAGTTCCATCTAAATTATAACAAATGTGTTACTTAATCTGGATTGTCCTCTTGCTCTTGTGTGACCTGAAGAGCCGGGTCTCGAGTCCCCACACGGGTAAAATGTGTCCAGGTTCCTTCTAACTCACATTTTGAAGTTAAAGAGGGTAGATGGAGAGTGTGATGATGATGTAAATGCATAAATGCAATGGTCTTTTAAATATCGAGGGACCATGGGTAGCCTAGTGGTTAAAAGGGTTTGATTCCTCATATGGGTACAATATGTGAAACCCATATCTGGTGCCCCCGCCGTGATATAGCTGAATATTGCTAAAGCGGCGTAAAACCCCAACTCACCACTCACTTTGGTTGTCACAGTGATTTTAGTCACCGAGAACAGAACTTGTACCAAATAGGAGGATGCTCCCTGGGACGGTGTAAATACAATTTCCTGCTCATTAACAACTTTATCATTTGTTACTCAGTCGAAGACCCGGGTTCGAATCCCCTACATGGGTACAATGTGTGAATCCCATTTCTGGTGTCGCCCGCTGTGATATTGCTGGAATATTGCTAAAAGCGGCGTAAAACTAAACTCAATAAATTAATGTTAATTCAGTTTTCATTTCTCTCCAGGTAATCACATTTCGAGTGTTTTTATCACTGGGAATAGACGTTGGGTTAGTCCACTTCGCCTACGGATCTGGTCATGTGTCGTCTGCTTCACCGGAAATGGCGGAGCACGTGCGGGGCAATACACCATTCCGCCAACAGTCTGCTCGCCGTGCTCAATATGACCGTAGGACTGGCCATTTTGGTGCTATGCTTAGTGAGCACTATCGTCGGTTGGCAGCCATTCGCTATTCTGGAAAAAATGGGAAGGTTGAGGACGATTAAGGAGATGGTGAAGGCCTAGACGTGCCTTCTGGACCGCCCTTGGCTTTTCTCAGCTCAATAGTACCTTTGGGGTAATGGATAGGCGAGCGACCCAAAAAATTTAGTTCCGGAAGTCTCTCAGAATACTGAAGACTATCGGGACTTACATTGTCTCTTGATCCTTTACATGCTCAACCTCTCTGAGCTACTGTCTCATATCTGATCGAATGGATATCCTTGTCCGTTATGTATATATGGCCTAAAGAGACTGGAACTGTGAAATAACTAATTTATCCCATGTTTTATTTTTCCGTAAACGGCTCGATGCGGTGAGCTTTACATACAAATTTCCTGACCCATCCGCCACCATAGATTCAGATCGGAGATGACGGATCTTCAGCATTATGAGCGAACGCTTTAACCACTAGCTTACCCCGCAGCCCCTCCGGACTGAGAAAAGAAACCATGGTGGCGAATAGGTGTGTATGGCATGCTAATAGTAATTATGAGCATCTGAACATCCCAGATGCATACGTAACGTATCGAATGTTTTGAGTTGTTCTCTCTTCTGGTATTTTAGATGCAACATTCATGAATATTCATCTCTGTGTGTGATGCAAATGTGTTCATATGCCTCGGATACTGGATTCAACGTCAACACGACAGCCAATTTGTGTTTTTGAAACACTTTCTCTCATGAATTTAATCAATGGACACTCCAGCATTTGATACGTTTCATCTAACATTAACCAAGCAATTGGTTGTCAGCTTTAGGTATTAATTTTCTCGGTGAGTCACTGTTATTTGTAGGATAATCGTTAGCCAACCAAATGTAAACAGTTTCTTTACTTCCGTCCCATTCTTTGCCTCAATATGTCTGATGGTCATGCCCGCGCTTCTCACAAACATCGAGTTTACAAGGAGGTTACATAAGTCGAATTTTGCGTAAGTCGATATTTGGCATCAATCGATATTTGACATAAGTCGAATTTGGGCGGGTGCAGGATATCCATTTATCTGAGGCTCCGGGAATCTCTCTCTGCTGAGTAGTGTCCCTTTGGTTTAACGGGAACGTATAATCGTGTGTTTGAAACCTTTTCGCCCGATTGTAAACTGACATAGGAAAGAAAGTACACATCTGGTCCTTTGATGTTTTTTCAGAAAATCAACGTAAATAGTGAGGCGCTGGCGACGTTTCTTTGCATAAGATATCTATGGCATCACGTACACAAACTTTGTGACTTGTAATTCGCAAAAACTTTGTTAAAAAAATGTTTACGTAATGTTTTCAATAGTCCCAAAGCACTAGGTGTGTACTTTCTTTGTATATCAGTATCATAAAAGTCTATGATTAACATGTCTTCATGCATGATTTTACCCACATCAAGCTGATGATATAATTTGTTTGAACTACAGTGAAGTAAGTGAACTGATTAAACGTGAAACACTCCGACGTGCAAAACTACATATCCATGGAGACAAGGAACAGGCTAAAAAATATTCAGATTTACAACTGAAACAGTATTGACTGTTTGCTATTTTGCAGAAAACCACTGGTTGAAATATCAATATATTTATTCAAGAGTTCCTGGAATTCTTTATATATGCTGCAGATTTTGGTATGGTATTTATGGTAGTCAATGACATCATGAGTGAGGAGTGAGTGAGTGAGTGAGTTTGTTTTCATGCCGCTTTTAGCAATATCACGGCGTGGGACACCGCAGTTTGCGACGACTCAGAATGAAGCACCGAGTGCAACACAATACATGAGTGTACATATTAACCTACTGACGGGCCCGATGTATAGCATAAAACAACGATGTACGTACGCATACCGTATGAAATTTGACGCTTTGTATAGTGGCACTACTTCAATACTCAACTGACATTTGATGGTATATACTCAGTTGGGAAAGGTGCACTCATATACCTGTGTAAATACTCCTAAGGACTGGTTTTACTTGTATTTATGTTAAAGTTTCTTTATAAACTGCTTGCCTAAAGAAAAGTGTTCATCCATGGTGATTGTGGTAAAAGGCGGAACAAAGAGGAACAGTAATGGTTGGTAATGATTGTATTTTTATGCTGCTATCGTTGTTTATTTTGGACTTTACATAAGGCATGTAAGTTTTCGACAGTTGCTTACAGCTAGTATGGTTTTGAAAAACGTTGTCAATATTTCTTCATCAAAACCAGTTGCCAGACGTATACTTTCTTTGCCTAGTAGTTTGTCTACCGTACCTGTGTAAATACTTCTATAAATACTTTTACTTGTTAATATGTCTATTATGCTTTTAAAAATAAAATAATTTATTTTTGTTACAAGGATGTCATTTTAAATGCAGAGTTGCTTCCCCATTAGGTTAGCATCCTATCATCATGGGTTCGAATCGCGGTTAATTATGTTTTTGGTTAGTCAGCACCATGCCATTGCGTATGGGTTTCACCTCGAAGAGGAACTTGGTGGCTTTGGTGGCCTTGTGGTTATGGCGTTTTTGTTTGTCACACCGAAGACCCGGGTGTGATTCCTCATTATGGGTACAATGCGTGGAACCCTATTCCTGGTGTCCCTCCGTGATATTGCTGGAATATTGCTAAAAAGCGGCGTTAAGCCAATACTCACCACCAGTTTGGCAGAATTGCATCCCTGTACCCAGCAGACCCTTTGAAGGTCCGGGTTAGAATTGATCTTCGATCAGTAACCCATTATTGTAAGAAGCGACTAACGGATCGGGGTGGTCAGGCTGCCTGACTTGCTTGACACATGTCATCGGTTCCCAATTGCGCAGATCGATGCTCACTTTTCGGTGTTTTGTTGATCACCGGGCTGTCTGGTCCAGACTCGAATATTTTACAGACCGCCGTCATATATAGCTGGAATATTGCCGAGTGTTGCGTAAAACTTAACTCCCTCACTCGCTCACCCCTGTGCCAGAAGCTCATGATCCCAGCGTTCGAATCTCGGTTGTGTTTTAAGGTTTGCTGGCACCATACGATTGCTTGTGGTTCCCACTCAAAGTGGTTCTTCGAACTTGAACCGACCCGTGAAAATCTGGGTTAAAAAATGGTCTTCAGCAACCCATGCTTGTCGTAAAAGGCAACTAACGGGATTGATGGTCTTGCTGCCCTCATAGACACGTTACCGCTTGTTATCGTATCCCAGTTGTGTAGATCGATGCTCATGTTCAGATTCGATATTTGAACGACTGACTGCCGCCATATAGCTTGAATATTGCTGAGTGCGGCGTTAAAACAACAAACCCAACCAATCAATATTACAAAGCAATAGTATTTCCACCGTATGTGCTTTGATATGAAGCGTCCGTAAAATATGTCAACGCCAGCACTGCAACATAGAGTTGCCTCGCTTTTAACAAAAGATTGTAAGAAACTCAGTTTCCAAATCTCAAGTCGGTGTATCAACTTCATGTTGGGCGGTGTTTGTTGTTTAACGCCGCACTCAGCAATATTCCAGCTGTATGGCGGCAGTCTGTAACAACTCGAGTCAGGACCAGACATTCCAGTGATCAACATCATGAGCATCGATCAATTTTGTAATAGAAACCTGTGGCACTTACTCTTGGAAAGTCCAGTGAATGAGGAGCATGGTTTTCATCAATATTCTAGCAATATCACAGAAATACGTGAAATATTAGTTGCTTTAAGTTATTTTGTTATCCGTTTTATTGCTAATAATATAAAAAAAAAAAACATAAAATAAATAAAAGGAATATATCCTGACATTTTCCGTTACTGGGAAGCTGTTATTATTATAATAAACTATAGTCCGTCAACTGAACTTTGGCACCCTGTTTTTCACAATTTACCTTTTAACCAAATATGCCTTCAAAATGTTTTTGTGCATAGGCTCTTTATATCTCATGACCTATCCATATTTAAATTTCATAATTTTATGTCAAGTATTAAAGCTTCTTCTTAAGAAGCCATCTTATAAAAATATGAAAATAGAAGTAGTTATACAAGGGAGTAAAATGATACGATGGAACAGCCAACAACATGGCGTGACACGCGTGCATCGTGTTTACATTGTTACGCCTGCAAGCAATAGGACTCCTCTATAATCATCATAAATCCATTTTAAACAAGTAGATTCATTGAAGTCTTAAAAGGCTGGTTGCTTGATCTCTTCTTGTATCTATATCCAAATTTTGAGCAACAGCTTGCATATGGTATGCTTTGATACATTGATGTCATGGTCTTCTTTGAACAATATTTTCTACAGTTTGCTTGATAATATGGATCGATGTAACCGACGCATGACGTCCTCACAACCCTTCTATCGAATTCATCAAGCTTTGTTTCTTTGCATGTTTTGAGACGGTGTCCCCGATTTAACTGCCAGGCTCTGAAATAGTGTCATGGGAGATAACTCTTTGCCATATTCTTTTTTGCAGATCTTGGTGGCATTAAATGTCTTTGGAGAAACATTCAATTGAAAAATTGAATTTTCTTTCGCTTTGCCTCTTCGCTTGAAAAAGTTGTAAACTCTTTTGATGATTTGCCGGTCATCTTGTGCAACCTCGTTTTCCCTACAACCTGTGCGTGTTGACGATCTTTGACATCACTTAAGCATGCTAATGTAAATACCCGTGCATGTACATATCACTCTGACACACTTTTACAGTGTTGTTGGCTTTTCCATCAGGTGCGTTAGCCCCCTCGTAAAACTCTCCACCGTTTTACAATAATTATATGACAGGTTTAAAGGCAAAATCTTTAATAATCGTTTTAAATTTACTAAAATCGATATCTTGTTTTATATAAATTGTGAAAAACAGGGTGCCAAAAGTTAAGTTGACAGACTATAGACATATTCCTGAATATGTATGGTTTTTATTGCCTGAAATTTTTAAACCACTTGTTTGTGCAGATGCCATATACCTGTGAAATAGGAAACAAGTGACCTATCGAAAGTCCATCACTGATCAAACCTACAGATGCATACAGACCTATCTAATTAATACCATAAATAAACTGGAATACATTTTTCTTGATCAATGCGGATACGCCCTTTATACTGCACTTACGGTTGGCGCAGCATTGATTGAGAACCAGTCGAGAGTTCTGGGATATCATCCGGGTAGGTACGGGATTTGAAAAACAATAACAAAGGCAACAGTCAGTCCCGAAAATCAGTTCCCCATGTCACAAGCAACCTGTTTTGCACGGGTGAGTGAAGAAGAGGCGCGCGAGTTTAACCCACCTAACAACTCACCACTAGTGACCTACAACACGCATCCACATCGACGAGACGTAACTAACACTGCGTGAATCGTGTGTGGTCATTGCTTCATTGGAAACACATAATGAGAGCCAGGAATACTTGTGATATACCGAGGAGGGTTAACTGTTCAAATTTCTTCTAAAGATGAAGTGTTGCAAAGGTCATGGATGTAAGTAGATGTGTAAATATATAGCTTGTATGTTTGTGTTTATAGAGTATATAATACGGAGCCTTATTTACTGACAAGCCTGAGTGTAGCTTTCGGGGTGAAATGATGCGCGAGCGAGTAGTAGATCTACATATGTCCGTGTTTGAATGTACAGAGACGTATTCGTTGTGGATTAAGGTGCGCTTAGAAATGGTGTTGGTCACCAAAAGCAGCGCAAACAAATCACTTGTACTATTAATGAAGGATTGCTATAACAGCATATATGGTTTCTGGTTGGCAGTGCTTAGCGTGAACTCCTAGCAACAGGTAGCAGCTTGTGACCTCATTATATACGAGTAGAAATGGTTCAATCGATAATCCATTTGCGGTCAACCCTGTGTTTTAAAACTGGTTATGAATTGAGGTGACATAATGTTGACAATATATTTCCCCCACAGACTATCAACTATCTAGCTGCTTCCGATCTAGATAGTAATTCAATAGTACATGCTCCGAAAGAAAACTGTAGCATTATGTCTGTTTTTAGAAAATTATATGCCATAGAAAATTTGTTAAAATCAAATAGCGTTATGATGAGATAAAATCGAATTTAACCTTATGCAAATATGTTTTTGCATTTATTTATAGTTTAACACATGACATTGATTATAATTTATATTACTATTATGATTGCTAAAACTGCATGTATGTGTAATATAATATTAAAGTACACATGCACCATCATACAACGCTATCAGATAAAATTACAACATTGTACAACTCAGATATCTACCGATGTAAAGAGAAGAAAAAAACAGAATGGCATTTTAATAATTTTGAACAGAAGAAAAGTATATTATTCGAAAAAGGCTACACCAGAAAAAGGCTACACCAGTTAAAGTGCATCTTCAAGGGTACTTTAATTCCCACTTCAATTTTTTATGATAAAAATAAAACCCAGTACATTCATACTATATTTCAATCTGTATTATGATACTGTTAGTATTATAGTAAACATCAAATAGTTTACATTTTTCTGACTTACAGTGTCAACAAGCAGTTTGCCTTCATAATGATCAGGCGATTATAATAGCCATGACAAAGGTCATATTTATTTTCTAGACCTAGCTTTTTTGTTTCCTTGCTGTAAACTGATTTTTCAAATTCTCACACAAAAAAAATCAATAATGTCATTTTATTATATATCCTTAATGTATCATAATTAAAATGTAGTCACTGCAGAAATTTGCAATAAATATCCATCATTCATCCATACAATCACGTTATACACAATGCCCCATAAACCCTTACAGGTACCTAAAAAGATTTCAGCAATTTCATCTCTATTTTTAAGTCGTATTTGAACATTATATTAAGAAACGTCGTGATGATTGACACAATTCGTCCGTTACTATTTATTTATTTCACAATTACTTCAACAATGTTTCGCATTTCTTAGTTATCTACCTGGAAAATACTAGTACTTGTGTTGTCAAAATCCCAAAACTGGCCAACGAAATTCACACGTTGCATACAAGAACTTCACATTTCGTGTACGGCATCAGCTACCCGCCACAATGAAATACATGGATTGCATGTATAGAAATTATTAACCGAGTGTGTTTCCATAACGTTAATATCATATATTAGGAATAAAAATAGTATTTTAATACATAATTATTATTCCTAATATATGATATTAATGATACAGAAACACACGGGGTTAATAATCTCTTTATCATATAATGCCATTCTTAAAATTTCTCTGAAAAAGAAGCAACTCGTACGTAGGGTTATATGAAGAGAATCGAGCATTGGCGTAAGAATACTTAGCGGTACACCAAGGTGAAGGTCGTTCAAGACAGCAGCATATGGTTGTGACTAGTCGCCAACACAGCGCAAACATAACTCGTGATCTTTCTGTCTAAAAAACCCCACAAAATCAGGGTTTTCCTGGCTGTGTTTTATTATCATTGCGGGTAATCACCTCATCAATATCAGTTTCAGATACATGACGGATTCGATCCGTCGTCTGTATTGTGATCGTTAATTCGAAATCATTGGCTGGTACCTTTCTTAGACGATTGCCTTTCAGTCGTGCCTCATAATCCGTACCTTCAATTTGAACGAAGTACACCGTTTCATGTTTTCTAAAGTCAATTACTGCAGTAATGACTCCAGAGCCTCTGTCATCAATTCTTACAGAATCACCAATTTTGAGAATGGGTGCAGCTATGTTTGTTTACAAACAATGTAAACTCACGATGACGTCATCAATGAAATGTTAAACGTTTTAGGATTCGCATGGCGTGTATGGAGTTTTGTGAAAGTAGTTCGTGGATTGACGTAATTTGCATAGTTATCAGATTTCGATACCATGTTTATCAAATTGCTTCATTGCATCGATAACACGCTCCATTAGATTATAGACTATTATTGCCCATATGGTGAAACATAAGCAGGCTGGCTATTCTCGAAACGTTCGTAGCCCTAAGAACTTCTTAAGCTCATTCTGAACACATTGGCTACGATCAAAGTTAAGAATTCTTAGGGCTACGAACGTTTCGATAATAAGGGTCCCTGCAGTGTCGTATATTTCATATGTATACATGCGCACATATCACTTTTGCCTAGCAACCATTGTTTCTGTATTTCGTCGTCTGTGACGTCATTATACAATTGAACGTGACGTCAATGAAGAGGGCCGTAACACCTGCTTACCGTGTTTTGCTGCAGACGTTTACATGGATCGATAAAATGGATAATAAACACATTATTACGCTCGAGCAAGTGTGTCATATGACTGATACGAAACTCGTGCAAAATTAGTATTGTTCTCGTCGTATGACACACTTGCTCAGATAAAATAATATCTATGTATCTAATGCGAAGGAGATTTGAGTACGTTTTCAATTAAAAAGTGTTATATTCAGACATCTAGTGCAAGACGTAAATCGACAAAACATGACCTAAAAACGATCAGCTGATTCTACAGCCGGGTCTCAGGCTTTTCACTATTGCAATGTAAGCGATCATGGTCATCCCTGATGTGTTTAGGAACCATGGAATAAATATTTTAGCACATATATTAACACGTGATATAGCATCGTTAAAGGGGAAAATAGCTATCGTCTATGCACCAGCGTGAAGGTGAAGGCTATATTGGTTAACTGTCTCTAAGTGAGTACAGCTCGCATTGCGCATACGAGATGCGCGGTCAGTTTAAGGTTGGCAAGATCAGCGAACCCAGCGGGTTAGTGAAGGGAAGATAATTTGAAAATTGCCCATTTAATGTTTAGCTAACAGGGTAGGTAGAAACGTTCTCCCTGGCTGAGGTCAGTGTACATTAGGCGGAGCAGGGCAGACTAGGTCGTCACAAAACTGGTTTCCCCGAGGTCACTGATCCGGGTGTAGAATGAGACCTGAATGACCGCTGTCTCTCCATTATATAACTCGTATTGAATAGAGTTACATCACCAGCCAGGCGTAAACGTACAAGGAACAAACGGTGTCTCCTTTATTTTGATACCCATTGAACAGTACATAAGCAGTGTATGAATTAAGACCCGTCCAACCGCCCGAGACGGGCTAGATTTCTGCCGGACGGTCTAAATTTACAGCTAGCCAGCCCGATGGACGGTTGAAAAATATATTCAGATAACGTGTCCACTGGCAATGTCTATTTAGTATTTAACAAGGACTGGTTAAATCTATTCTGTGCTGGTAAGTTTTTGAAGTTACCAGCCCAGATGTCTGGCTGGGTTTTTGGCTTATTTCATACACTGATGACATAAGATAAAATATTATGAGTACACAGAGTATATTCGATGGCAGATCTTTAGAAATATTTTTGGGTGAATGAATTTACGGAACTGGTACATAATTATTTAATTAGGGTCCGTTCATAATTTATGGCTAGGGGGGTAATGATGATTTTTATAGATAAGCATGCACAATGTGAATGAACCCCCCTAAAATTTATGTGCAAAGTAAGTGACCCCCCCCCACCCCCTGGCATGTCATGTACAAAATCAATGACCCCCATCCCCACTTCCCATAATTTTTAAGCATAATTTTTATTATATATTCATGTACAAAATAGCTGACCCCAGATCAATGGCTGTGCTGTAGGTTTCGTATATTCAGTCAGAGTCTTTTGAACTGAGTTTTGTCTTAATATGTTCACGGCATTATCAAGCTGGACATACAGTGGCGTTTTCTTATGCCTAAAACTTCGAAGCCCCGCGTATTTGTTCTTGGTACATACGTATACTTCCGGGCCTTTGACCATGCTATCTTGACATCAAGGGTGGAAATAGCCTTCGGCTAAGGTCCTGTCTCCACCCAAACCTATTGAGTGTGCGACTGACGGTTTGGGATTGTGTGAAAAGCGGACTAGGCCTGATAATAGTAAAATAGTTTAAAGGCTTGTGGAATACCCCTAAAATGTCTTATCAAGTAATAGCGGTTGCGCGTCAAAAGCTTTTGTGCACATAAAGTACATCACTTGCTTGATAACGATGTTATCACACATGGACTCTATCATACATACGTATGTACCTACCTACCTACTCTCCCAACACTACCTACCTACCTCCCTTCCTACCTATACCTACCTCCCTTTCCACCTACCTCCCTACCTCCCTTTCCACCTACCTACCTCTCTTCCTTCCTTCCTACCTACCTTCCTTCCTTCCTTCCTGTCTGCCTGCCTGCCTGCCTGCCTGCCTGCCTGCCTACCTACCTACCTACCTACTTACCTTCCTACCTTCCTTCCTTCCTACCTACCTACCTTATTACCTACCTACTTACAAACCTGCCAACCTCCCTTTCACCTACCTCCTTTCCTTCCTACCTACCCACCTACCTACCTACCCACCCACCCACCCACCTTCCTACCTATCTACCTACACACCCACCCACCCACCCACCTTCCTTCCTACCTACCTCCATCCCTTCCTACCTACCTACCTACCTTCATTCCTCCCTCCCTCCCAACCGTCCTTTCTTCCTACCTGTCT